ATATATATATATATATATATATATATATATATAGTTGCAACATCTTGGTAATTTAACTGATAATTAAATTATATATCTCTCTTTATTTAAGTTGAAGGAAAAACAAGGGCAGACATATGATTTTACTATCAGTTAACTTATCAAGAAGTTGGAACAATCTGTCTTAGAAAGCTTGGTTCAACTATGTTTTCAAAAAAAGTTACTGATTATTCATGAATAGTATCTATTTTATCTATAAAGACAACCCAAATAGCATAAGACGTTCTGGGATCATGCCGAATGTACCCAGTAGTCCTGAGGAGTATGTCTTAAGACATTTTGAACATATTCAGAATGATATTGAGCGATCTGAAAATTTATTTAAATAAGAATTTATTCGCACAATATACAACTTTATCAATATGCTCACTATATAAATAGTTATTAATAGTTATCATCAAGTAATAACAAATTAGACCTAGTAGCAGCACAATGCATTAGGCTAATATTGAATCCGTAATGGCCAATGTAAAATTTATGATAGTTAGTATGATAGATGATGATCGTTGCCAATTAATATATGCTGCTCGATTATCATTATTAAGATTCTTATTGATTATTACTGATTGTTATTGTTGTTGCTGTTATATGAAAAAAAGATTTGCTAATATATGGAGAACTAAAAATATTAACTGCAGGAGCAAATTTTCTTGTTTTCATAGTAAAAGTTATTTAGTTGTAATAACTAAAAGATTTGCTAACATATATATTATAAGAAAGCAAGAAAGTTTGCTCTTGCAGTTAATATTTTTAGTTGTCCATGTATTAGCAAATCTTTTTTTCCGTGTAGTATATTTGAAATTTATTCAACTCTTTTGTAATTACTATCTAGCTAACAAATGACGAAGAAACATTTCCTCTCTATAAATCTTCGATAACAAAAAAAGAAAGTTGTGTCGGAATCTATTTCTCTATACAATAATTGTAGTATACGATATACGATATTTAATATAAATATTGCAAATTTTTTCCTTAATATTAATATTTAAAGGTGAAGTGCGCATGATATTGCGGCGGTTGACTGTCAGCTACTTGTTCCTTTGGCTAAGTTTTAGCCCAAAGAAATTTCATTAACGCGGAAAGTTTCCGAGACGTTACGTCTCTACGACTTATGAATCGAGTATTGTCTAACGGTTTTATTTTTTGTTCAGTTCGTTCTGCGGAGATCAGAACGACAGATAACGAAGTTTCGGGCTAAAAGTATACGACATCGAATGAACGTCTCATTACGCGTCATTTAAAACGCATATATTTCTGTTAGATCAAAGAACAAGATTTGTCATTTTCCTATTAAATTCTTTTTCTATTTGTACAAGCAGTTAGATAATATTTAAATCTATAAATATCTCAGATTTCAATGAATTCTTAACAAACTTATTTTTCAAAAAGTTAAAGGCTCTTCAAATGTACAATGAAACAATACAAGAAAAAGGCTAATAAGAATCAACCGCCGATCGCACAGGCGAAGTTATATATTTAGTGAAACTGTTATTACATTTATTTACCATTCAAACGTTTCGGTTCTAAGATTTGCATCCTTTTCAGTGAAGGACATTAAGATAACGAAGTAATAAAAAAATGCTTAAGGGGATTGGAGGGTCAAATTGCCTGAAAATCATGCTTGTTCTTTCACAATTTTTTATGACAAACTGAATGAATATGCGAAAGTGTTATTTTGACGTGTATTTATACAACATATAAAGAGAAGAAAAATATAATTTTGATGATCAAATATTCAATATAAGTATATGGTACATGTAGTTAAAATATATTTCGTTTTTCTTTTTAAGATCGTCATTTTGCAATAATATCTTGACTCTTGGTGGTTCAATTAAGCTGAATTTTATATAGAAAATTTCCGTAAACTTGTCGTTATCGTGTGAACCACTGACAAACTCGTGAAAATATTTAATTTTGAAATATTAATTTTTTATTATAAAAGAACTAAAAATTTAATAATATTCCATTAAGATATTTCCAATTTTGTTAAATTTTATTCAATTTCTATTATAGTGGTTAAATAATGAAATAAATGTATTTTTATATATAATAATAAAATAAACGTAATTTTAACTAACAGAAATATTTTAAATGGCTTATAAGAAGCCAAGCATGGGGATGTCTTAGTGCTATTAGATATTAATACTACTTTCAATAATATTAATATGATAGTGGGAGGATAATATGTCCAGCGTGTTAAACGTAATTTTGTTCGATAAATAACAAGTTCGTAAAACTGTTTTTTGTTCGATAAATAACAAGTTCATAAATAATTTTTTGGGTGTTATCAAGTTCTCTTGATATGTTATTGAAAATACGATACTGATTGTTAGAACATCTTTTAAATGTCTATTTTCCTGTTAATATTAGATTGGTGCAAAATACTTGTAATTGTCTTATTAAATTCTAGTAGGAAATTTAGGTATCAAATGAAAAATAGAAAATTCTTGTTAGATGTCTTAAAAAAATAACGATTCAATGTTGTTTATTTTATTTATAAGAATTATTATTGCTTTCAAATTGGATAATTTTATTTTCTATTTTATTTGACAAAAACGACAAATGTTTTGTATTTAATACGTAAATTTTATGATGCTTATCGAATCTTAAAGAAAAACAAAGAAAGAAAAAATGATTGATTGATGATTATTTTATTCGCACAAAACAATTCAAGTACAATAACTGAGGATTAACCATTTCTTTTTTGTTATAATATGTCAAATGTATGCCATATTTCTCTCTGCGTTATTCATTTTTCCTTTTTTAACTCTCTCTTCCTTACGCATTTGCATGAATATATGCAATAAAAATCATACAATAATCAATTTTTCTTCTATAAAACGAAACATTAGAAGAGGCACGATATATACACTAGTTTTGCTCAGTGTGAACGTCTTCGCTACTGAGTTTATTAAAGTGTCGAGCAGCTGTAGTTGAATTATCGCCGGAGTTTCAGTAGCCGGCAAAAAGTGCGCCGAGCGCAGCGGGACGAAATAATTTGACCGCCTTATTCGAATCTTTTCCTCGTCCTGCTTGATATCTATGCCGTAACTTTTGCCGAAACTACACTACCATCCCCGAAGCTAATGTACCCTCGCAACGGTCATTATGTAAATTCAAGTGTGATAGAGCGGAAGGAGCGTTTACTCGTGACTGTAACACAAGTGGAACTTTTTCGCAAAGTTAATCGATTTATTTCTAGTTAATTGGAGAGATATTCGTTAAAGTGATGTGAATATCAGTGTTGAATATCGGTCGCTGTCGAAAAAATATAGGGTAATTAATTTCATATGACAATCGATAATATTTGAAAAGGAATGCGTCATATGAAAAAAACATTTCAGAGATCAAAGTTGTAAGATATTAAGAGAGTTATATAAAATAGTTTATATTGAGTGTTTTTTTTTGGGTGGAAACACTATGATCATATCGAGCTCACCTTGAATTTTTTTTTTAATATAAGAATCTTTATTTTTTATTATACATTCTCATAGATGAGAAATTTTTAAAATTGCAAGATCACACTCTTTTTTTATTATTACGTGGAGGTGATACGAGCGATTTTGTTATTTTCGCGTGTATATATGTGTGTTTGTGTCCGAATGTGCGGGTATGTAGGATAGAAAATAATATAAATAGTAATATGTGTGTTTATTTAAGTTGATTTTAACAAATGCCTGTAATGAGATGATTTTTAAGGAGGACAGTATATCCCGTAGCTTAAAAAAAATTTGATTTTATATTTGTATAAACTTAAAGTTTGAAGTTTTAAAAACGTATAGCTAAAATTTAAGATTGCAATTTAAAACATTAATGAGATTTCAGAGGCCGTTCAAAAGACTCGTGCACAGGAAAAATACAAACGCGTGGCATGTGCTATACCCTATGATCAGAAAGTACCGGGAATTTTTTATTTAAACGTACCGCGCATGCGGGAACCGGTTTATTTTTTTTTCTTATGTTGGTACGACCTTAAGACGCACATCTGTCAGGTTTTAGTGCCATCCAATCATTAGTGTCTGCCTGGCGTTTGTTTACATCAGTCAACTTTTTTCAATTTGTCGCATTTTACCATGGATAATGTTGTTGAACAAAGAGTTTGTTTGAAATTTTGTGTTGCGAACGAAATTTCGTGTGCCGATGCACTGAAAATGTTGCAAAAAGCATTTTGCGAATCTGCTCTATCAAAAACAAGAGCATACGAGTGGTATAAAGACTTTAAAAGTGGTCGTATAGTGGTGGAAGATTTGCCTCGTTCCGGACGTCCATCGACGTCGAACACCGATGAAAACGTGAAGAAAGTGAAAGAAATGGTGCTTGAAAATCGTCATACCAGCTTAAGAGAGATGTCTAGTGAACTTGGCATTGCATATGGAACGGCACAGCATATTGTGGTTGATGTTTTGGGTATGAGACGCGTGGCAGCCAGGCTCGTTCCGAAGGACCTGAATTTCGTGCAAAAACACCACCGAAAGACAGTTGCTGAAGAGATGATTTCTGAAGCCCAAAGTGATCCAACCTTCATGAAACGGATAATTACGGGCGACGAGACATGGGTCTATGAATTTGACATGGAAACAAAGCAACAATCGTCCGAGTGGCGCTTCGAAGACGAGCCGAAACCGAAAAAACCGCGTCAAAGCCGCTCAAAAGTGAAGGTGATGTTGACTGTTTTCTTCGATTGCCAAGGCGTAGTGCACTATGAGTACCTTCCACCGGGCCAGACAGTCAACAAAGAATATTATTTATCCGTTTTGAAGCGTTTGAGAGATGCTGTACGTCGCAAACGGCCGGAAATGTGGGCCGACAATTCTTGGATTTTGCATGA